AAACTCTCTCAAGTCAGGCAAGAAAAGCCACTGTTTATTTACACCTTGGTCTGTACATTACAGTTCCCTGGAAGGTGCCCGCCGCTGAGATAGAGAGCAGCAGGAGGCGAAGAGCTCAGGACCTGGGACCCAGCCTTGGGGCCTCGCCCCACACCCTCCCTCTCTGGGGCCTGAAAGCAGAAGTCCCATCCCAGTCCTAAAGCTAAGGCCGTTTCCAGACCTGGACTCCTGAGGCAAACACCCAAGTGGAATCCCACAGAGTCAGAAGCTGTGAACCAAGCCCTGGAGCGTGAGGTCACCATGCAGTCTACTCTACCTGGTCTGCAAGAGACCCAGCCCCAGACGGGAAAAAGCTGGGAGGAGGGAAGGTGACGACGGGCTGAGAGTCCTCAGTGATGCCCTGTCCCATCCGGGTCCTGACATCAGTCTGGTATTTAATGGCACTCTGGTCTGAGCACCTTCGGCAGACTAGGAAGGGCTGGGCAGGTGTTAATACACAGGCAGGGACAGTGGCAAGCCTCTTCCTCTCCCTTGGGTCTGCAGCTGTCCTACACATTAGACACCGTGGCCCTAAACCCAGGCCCACTGCTGGGTACAGGGAACCACACAGCCAGGGCTTCCTCCAGGAGCAGCAGGTATCTGCTGCAGACCTGCAAGACTCATGGCACCTCTGCTGGGGCCAGTGGCCCAGGTTCAAGTACCCGCATGCTCACAGCAAGAGGGTGCGCAGGAGTTTGAAGTCGCTTTACATGAAGTTGCCCTTACCTGGGATTCAGGTTTCTAACTAACCGCAGGCTGGGGGCGGGACTCAGTGCCGGGCCCCCAGTGCTTAAGACAATGACAAAATATTCTGTACAAAGTCACCGAGTCTACAAGGCAGGGTGAGGCCGGGGGAGCCGAGGGGAGGCGGGCCTGGTCTTGGTGGGTAGTCAAAGTGCCTGGAAGCTCGGCCGCCCAGGGAGGAGGCCCGAGGTTACAAAGTAGGATGCCCGAGGTTACAAAGTAGGATGCATATGTCCACATTTACAGGGCTGGGAAGGCAGCGACCACGAGAGTGTGTAGAAAAGGGGGCAGTGGGGACACAGGGAGAATCCCGTATAGTGGTGACAGGGAAGAAAAGGCACGAGGACAAAGACCCCAAACCATGCAGACAAAAACAGCCCGGGCAGCACAGCAAAGCAGGCAGTCCCAGCAGGACGCAGGGTGGCCCCGGGCACAGCAGCACTTAGACTGGCAGCAGAGGTGGCCTGGGATACTCTCCCCAGCTGGTGTCTCTGGGGCAGACAGCCCTACACTACAGTCACAACGGAGAGAGGAGGAGCATGCGGAACCCAGTGAGAACAGTGGCCTTGCCCTTCACCAGGGTCTTACTCATAGACACAAACTCTTCTGAAAAGCTGGTAACCTCTCAGATGGGCAGCCAGAGGATGGCAGAGGGCCTTAGGACCGTCCCATCAGGCAGGTGGGGCGGGCCCGTGGGAGCCCTCCTCAGCTGCCCATCACAGGTACACGTGTCAGGACCTTGAGGTCCCTAAGATCAGAGCTCCAAGTCACCAGGGAAGGGTACGGCCCCTCTAACTTCAGACTCCTTATGGGGCGGGCCTCCGTCTTAACAGCCTGAAGCACCAACTTACAGAGGGGACCTTGGGTCCCAAAGGGAGGGACGGGGAGGAGAGACCATGGAGGATGCTAGCACTGAATACTTAAATGGCCCCTCTCCTCACTCAGCCCCCTACTGAGCCACCAGGGATCTACCAGGTGACCAAAGTCATTTCCTTGGCATGGTGACCACCCAATCCCATCTAGAGCCAGCTCTCACACATACCTGGAGCACACAGAGGGGACTAAATGCTCCCCACCTCACCAGGCCTTGCTGCAGGCTTTGGCAGGCTATGACGTCCCTCGCTGGGACAAAGGGCCCCCACCTGGGCCAGGAATCAGACTGGTCAGTGGACTAGCACCTGGAGCCTCCAAGGCCTGAGCCTGGGTCTGGTTTGGCTAACAATGGGAAGAGCCAGGCCTTCCCTCATCTGCCTGGTCAGAGCACAGGCAAAGCCCACGAAGCCAGGGTCCCTCCAGCTCAGCTGTGCAAGCCGGTGGCTCTCAGCCGACTCTGTTCTGCCTCCACTTAGTAAAGGGCCTGTGGTCAATACATCTCAACACGTGTCATCTCTGACTCAGGGGCAGAGACTCTGCTGCCCACCTAAGTCTGCTAATCTCCAAGCTGCTGGATCTACTGGTCCCGAGGCCATCTGGACTCCCATCCTGGGGCAAGGGCCACTTGATATCACCACAGGTAAAGCCACCATCCACCACCTCAGCAGAGGCCCTGGACCTGTCCTGGCTCAACAAGCCCAGAGGCCACTGCTACCGGTTTTCTCGACCTCTGGCCAACAAGCTTCTAGGACAAGGGGTCTCAGCCCTGAGCTACACACTGACATCACCTGAGGTCTTCAAACACGTAGGTACCACAATTCACAATAGCCAAACTATGGAACCAGCCTAGGCGTCCACTAACAGATGAACAGATACATAAAATGGGGTCTATATACACAATGGTGTTTTACTCAGCCATAAATAAAAATAAAATCGTGTCATTTGCAGGAAAATGGATGGAACTAGAGACCATTATGTTAAACGAAATAAGCCAAACTCAGGTCAAGGGTCATATGTTTTCTTCATACGTGGAAGCTAGAGAGGAAAAAGGAAAAGAAAGGTGTGGGGGAGGGGATCTCATGAAAACCAAATGGAGATCAGTAGGTGAAAGGGACCAGGGGGTGGGCGGGATATTGGCCAAATCAAACTGTTATATGGTGTGCATGATGAATATGTAACAACAAGTTCTTTTAAAATCTAGATGCCGGGGCCCCAGCAATTCAGTCTGGACCTCTGGGGAGTCAGCCCCGTCATCAGAGTTTCCTAATCTCTCCAGGTGACTGCAGTGCCCACTGCTAGAAGCCTCCAGAGGTCTGGAAGTTTCTGGAGCTTTGTGGTTTTTATAGATCAGAAATAAAGTCAAGAAAAAGGAATTCCCCTCTGATGATTCTCAAATAGATCTACCAGTTTAAAATAAAATAATCCAGGTCTAACTCCAGCTACTTCAAAGTTAAAATTTAAAAAAGGAAAACATTAGCTAATTTTGTTTGGCTTCCAATTGATGGCAAAGACAGCTCAATGTTACATAAAATGTGAATCTTCTCCAGAACGCCCCCGCCGCCCCCAAACAAAACCCTCTAAACTTTAGATAGATTACTATTGATCTGTCCTATTGGTAGGCAGAAAAACAACCCTCACCCCAAACTCCCATAAAACACCCAGTTAAATTAGATGCACCTGGGTACTCCCAAATTCAGAGGCTTGGGTTAGGGGTCAGGACCAATTAAAGCAGAATGTCCAGAGATCGGTTTTGGGTTTGTTTGGTTTTGGGTACTGGGGATTGAACCCAGGGCATTGCATGTGCTAGGCAAATGTTCTACCACTGTGCCCTTTTGGGGATCAAAAAATTTTAAAGCTCATTTAAAATATGTCTTAAGTATTAACTGGAACATATATATTCTAAAAGTGAAAAATTATTTGGGTGTATCTGAAATTCAAATTTCTTTTTGGTATCAGGGATTGAACCCAGGGGCACTCCACCAGAGCCACATCCCCAGCCCTTTTTAGAGACAGGGTCTTGCTGAGTTGCTGAGGCTGGCTTTGAACTCATGATCCTCCTGCCTCAGCCTCCCAAACCTCTGGGATTACAGGTGTGACCACTGTGCCTAGCCTGAAGTTCAAATCTAACTGGGCACATGTTTACCACCTAGCAATACAACAAGGGACAGCTGGGGTAGAACTCCCAGCTGGAAAATGAGCGAGGGAGGCAGAAAACACAGCAAGAGCAGGGCTGTGGAGCTGGGGTGTCGGCTCCCATCAGGCTAGCCTTCAGGATCAGAAGAGCATTTTAAAGACATACATGATTTGGGGGGTGGGGTGTGGGGGGCGGCAGTAGGGATTGAATCCAGGCCCTTGCACAAGCCCTCTACCACTGAACTACATCTCCAGCCCCCAAACATACCTGATCTTAAAAAGCGGAGCTGACAGACAAGAAATGCATCCTGGCTGAAGAAAGTAAGGAGGTTGGATTTAATGGAAGGAGTGTGTTACAGGGAATTCATTTCCTCATTTAAAAGTCCCTCTTTAAGAGGCCTCTCTGACACTGGCCCAGATCCAGAGGGTCTTTTAGATCTGGCTCTTTTTTTTTTTTGGCCTCTCAGGAAACCCATGCCAATGGCGCCCCCTACAAGGAGAGGCGAGGAGAATGGAGCAGGCTGTCTTTTCCCACCCCCTCTTCCCCTGGCAGAAATTCCTTCATAGCGGCTCTAACTCTGGCTTCTGTGGCCTTCTCTGGAATCTGCACTAATGCAGCTAAAGAACATATGCAATTTTACTTATTAAATACTCACCCCCATGGACCAGGGCCCTGACTTGGCCAGCCTCAGTGGCACTTCTTGCAATAGAAAATCCAGGCCAATGCCATGTCGCAACTTGTCATTTGCCTCTGGTTGTGGCCATTCCTTGCTACTGGCAAATTCTCAAGAGACCCACTCCTCAGGCCGCCTTTCTCTGCCTGTGGGTTCTCAGACCCTTGGGAGAGCCCAGTGTCCTGAGAACAGGGCCTTCTAGAGAAAATGCCTCAGCCAGTCTTCCCTGCATGGGTAATTCCAGAGTCCTGGGCAGAACCAGTGCAACCCCATTATTTGCAGCATGAGACCAAACTGCACTTATTAAAAAGAAATCACAAAATCCAACAGAAGCAAAGTTGATTGGAATGGAATGAAGATCAGTCTTGGCTACAGCCCTGCCTCCAAACCTGGGGACACACCCAAGTCCCCCAGGTCCCCTCTTCATCCTCCGCTGCCCGCCTTCTCTGCATACACCCCTCTCTACCCTCCCCAACATGCCCGAACCTTCCTTTTCTCGCTAGATGTGCTGAAGAAAACAAGAAACTGCAGGGGAAGAAATAAGACCATCCGTGTTTATATAGATTTGGGTAAAGGAAACGAATCACAAGCTATAGAAAATTCAGATAGACTGGAAAACTTGAAGGAAAGGATCACATCTACTCCCTGCTGCCTAGAACAAGAGATCACATTAAAAATCCATGGTGGAAATTCCCACCATGTGTCCAAAGCACGGAAGACAAAGGTTTCCCTGCAACTTTCCCACCTGCATGTCCCACCAGCACAGTGTCTGTTCCCCTGGATGAAGACCAAAGAAGGAGGCCGCTCTAGCTCCCCAGGGGAGCCCAAGCTCGGATTCTGGAATCTATCCCGAGGCCTGCCCTCACCAGGCCGCGAGGAGCCCACCAGTGACAAGCGACAGTCCGTCTGCGCGGCTGCGGGCAGCCCTGTTCCTCTGGGAATCCTTTCTTTGGTTGCCCAACCTGTTTTGACACCCCCACCTCCTAAGCTGCTGCTTTCCTTTTGATTTCTTCATGTTATACCCAAGTGAATAGTGCTTCTATTTCATTGTCTTAAAAACAAAACCAAACCATAAAGGGGAGGTAGGTGAGCAGGCGGGGAGGGCAGGGAGAAGCCAAGATGCCAAGAACCCCACCAATGAGGACGGCCTGTCCACAGCTCTGCGAACCCGAGTCCTCTGGACACGGTACACTGCCCCACAGAGGGCTGCCCGAGGGCTCCTCCACTGGGTCCCCCCAGATGCCCCTTCCTTCTCTTTGAGCTCAAATACCTGGGCTTGAAAGATGGCCAAAGAGGCTGGAAAGAGCAACCAAACTCCTGGAAAAGATCAGATTTTGCTCCTCGTCCCGGGAGGTGGGGCAGGGAGAGAAGAGCCTGTCTCCCTAGAGTATTTCTAATCCTTATCCCAGAGGTAGAATCATTTTATCCAGTAAGTAACACAAGTGTCCAGTTCTCGTTATCGCAGGAACTCCCATGGCAGACCTTGTTCTCTCCGCTGCCAGTACCCTCCGCCCCTTGCAAAGGGACCACAAAGTGCACACACAGCTCACTGTGCAGGTGTCACCAGCCACGATCCCACGCTCAGCCCACATATACACCAGTACACGGTACGCATGGTGGCCAGAGGTACATTTACAGTGAGTGTGGGCCCAGGCCCAGGCCCACATCCTGGGGCAGGGCCTGCCCCTTGGTCCCCAGGTCCTAAGGCCGCTCTGCAGCCAGCCCCCTCCTCAGTGCTTGATCTCCAGGATGGAGGGGTTGTGGTCCAGGATGGCCAGGATAATCTTGTCCATGTACTGCCTCAGCCGGAAGTTGATCTCCTCCTGTTCTTTTAGAGCTTCCATTAGCTGAAGGGAGTGGGAAAGACAGGTCAGAGGCTAGGCCTAGATGGGGGTATGGCAGAGCCCAGATCCCCAGGCTTGCAGTGAGCTAGTGTCTGATGACTGAGGGACCCAGGAGGCCCTGGGCAAGGCAAGACCCCACACTAACACCAGCACCTAGAGGCCAGGACAAGGGTCTTAGGCAATGTAAGTGGTCTGTGGAGGCACTGGGGGTGGGTAATTTTTTTTTTTTTTTTTTTTAAGGTTAACCACACTGGCCAAAGGCATTTATTTATTTTTACTTTGGGTATTGGGGATTGAACCCAGGGGCACTTGACCACTGAGCCACATCCTCAGCCCTATTTTGTATTTTATTTAGAGACAGAGTCTCGCTGAGTTGCTTAGGGCCTCACTGTTGCTGAGGCTGGCTTTGAACTCGAGATCCTCCTGCCTCAGCCTCCCGAGCCATTGGGATTACAGGCGTGTGCCACTGTGCCCACTAAAGACATATATGATCAAGGCTGACATTCACAGTTCCAGGGCACCAAAGGCTGAGGCTGCCAGCTGCTTCCTTCCCACCCGACTCCTGCCCTTGCCCTTCTCTGAGGCAATTCCTATTATGTCCTTTAGGGTACAGCCAAACTGTTGCCTCTGCCCTGGGGCTAGGGGTGCTGGTGACCAGTCAGGAGCTCCTTGAGGCCAGAGGTTGACCGTAAGCTCTGGGTCCCAGGAAGAGTGTAAGTTTCAGTGGCATGGGGTCTTAGGGTCATGTTAAAATGTGGCTAGGAGTTCTGGCATTTGTAGAAGAGTGGGCTTTGGTGCTAGACAGCAGGGTCCCTCTCCCACTGCAGCTGGGTGAGCCTGTGCCCTGGTCTCTTGGTCTATAATGGAGGTATTCATAAAGCCCCAGAGTTATCAGGTGAAATGAGAACATGCGCAAAAGCCGACGCTCGAGAAATGCCAGCTCCCTTGTCCTCCTGCCAAGGGCGGTGGGATCACAGCCTAACCTGGGTCTCCGTGAAGATGCGACCCACTGCACTTCTCCTGCAGAGCTCAGACTCATGCTCCACCCTGTCCTAAACCTGTGTTCCTTTCAGCAGAAACCAGAGCTGACCTGTTCCCCTGTGGCCACCTCATGCACAGCTGTGCCTGTCTTTGGGGGTAGTGGTAGGTGGGGACACTCAGGGGCCAGGCCCTGGGCAGCCTGGGGCTCATGGTCCTGGAGGGGGAGGGGAGGGGGAGGGGCTAGGATCCAACCAAGATCAAGGGGACAGGGTACCTCATCTCGAGATGCTGTGTCAATTTCTGCAGCCAAAGACTGGGCTTTGGTCTGAGTAGCAAAGAGGTTCTTTGCTTCATAGAGGCTGAGGCTCAGGATCTGTCCGTTCAAGTCGTCATTCTGATCCCGCAGCTTATGGTTCTCCTACAGAGACAAGTGAAGACAACATCAACTCTAAGAGGCATCTGGAGTCTGCTGGAACCCCCTCTCTGTATCCACTCTCTCCCTACAGCCACAGGGTGCCTCCCTGTGGCCATGTGCTGTGGCCACTTCAGGAGGCCTGATGAGGATGCAGCCTTTGCCAGGCGTCAGGGTGGAGGACCAGATCCTGGTCTAGGGCCTGGAGTCCCTTTGAGATCATGGGGTTGGAGGGGGAATTACTGCCCTGCCCAGAGGAGCCATGTTTCTTGGACAGGAGCATGCCTGGCCCATTCCTTCCTCCCTGGGGCCCACTGGGAGCTCATCCTGCAACCTTGGCCCTTGCAGAGGACAGCCCTGCTCTGGGGTCTGGGTGAACAGGAGCTCTGGAATTCTGCTGAGTGGCAAGTGCTCAGGGCACCATCCCTCTTGAAGGGGTCATCAGCTGACATCAGCCCTATGTGCCAGCTCTTGCCTAAAGATGCTTTAAGGCTTGCACTTGAGACCCGGGAGCCCCTCCTGGATGGGAGAAGGGCTAGGTTTAGGAGCACTGCCGGGGCACAGCTGCCAGCTCCTCTGCCTCAAGTGAAACAAACTCAAAGATGTGACTTGTAATCACAGACTCCCCCCACACAATGTCAGACTGGGCTTGGGGGACTTCAGTGGACATTACTCCCTTGAAGGGTCACTATCCCTTCCTGATCCCACTCCCCCAACCATAACTGACGTCCAATGAAGGGACTGCTCCCGGGAGCACTGAAATGGAACCTCAGACTTGGTGTGTCCTGCTGGGAGAACCCAGCCCAGCCGGGCACTAAGCTGCAGCTGGACTGAGTCTCAGTCTCACCCCAAGCACCAAAGACAGGACAGTGATGTTGCTTTCTTTTTACAGATGGAAAGATCCTGAGATCCGTCAGATGTAGCCAGAGCCAAGTCACTTGACCTGAGCCATGAGCCAGGTGGCCAGTCCTGACGGAGGAGCAGGTGGGAGTGTGTGGGGTAGGAGGAGGGATTACCACCTTGGCTCCCTTGCCAGGGTCCCAGCGCAGGAAGCCCATGCGGCTGCCCTGGGCACCTCATCCTGCTGGACGGCAGCTCCCAGGGCCCACCTGCTTTAGCCGCTTGACCTCGTGCTCCAGCTCCACCTCGCGGGCCCTGGCACTGAACTCGCCCAGGCCGGAGGAGCCGCGGCCCCTGCCCTGCCGCTCGCAGTCCAACTTGTACATCTGCAGGTGCTCCAGCTCCTTGCGCAAGTCCTCGATGAGCTGCGGGTAGAGGAAGAGGGGCTGGTTGGTGGTAAGGGGGACGCTGGGGGGAGCCCTGGGGCCCTCTGGCAGGGACCCACCTCCTGCGTCGCCTCCCGCTCCTTCTGGAACTCCAGGCGGTTCTGCCGCAGCTTGTCCATCATGCGTTTGTACAGGTCCATCTCGTCCTTGAGCCGCAGGCTGGTGTCCTCCAGCCGGTCGGACATGCGCTGCCGCTCCTGGAGCAAGGAGACCAGTCATGGGGAGGGGGTGGCCAGAGTCGGGCACCTTCTGACCCAAACAAGGGTTTCTCAGAGCAAATGGGTAGGAGACCCCGCCCAGTGGGACAGAGCCCTCCAAGTCATGGCTTATAGAACAGACAGGTCCCCTGTGATTCCAGAAACACAACTAAGAACACCTCAGGCCCAAATCCTCCAGGGAAGCTGGGTAGAGCTCGTACAGACCAGGTAGGCCCCAACAGAAGCTCTCTCACTCTTCAGACGATCATTCCTATCATATGGGGAATGTATACTCTATATTCATTGCAGAAAACACACGCCATTATTCACAGTTTGCTTTATTTTTTAAGGGGGGGGGGAGTCTAGCTCTTTTTTTAAGAGTTTCACTAAGTAATAAACTCAAGGCCCCCTTTGGCCAACCTTGCTTCTCTGTGGACACAGCTTCTTGCCCAGAATGCTGCTCACCTCGTCCAGTTTCTCGGTTTGCGACTTGAGTCGTGTCACTGTCGTCCTGAGCTCGGTATTTTCCTCCTCTAATTGTTGCACCCTGAGGAAAGGAGAGAGTCATGAATTTCAGATATCTGGAATGCAGATTGTCTCACAAGGAAATGGCAGTTTGAAGTGTTTTCTGCCTCCTGGAGGGAATCTATCAGAAACTAACTGAAAGAGAGAAAAGAATTTTTTTTTTTTCCCCAAATGATAACAGTTTGTGTATCCCTGACCCAGAAACCCAGGAGGCTCCAAAACTTGAAGTTTTGGAGCACTGACATGATGCCACAGTGGGAAATTCCACACCACAGAACTTTGTTTCAGGCATAAATTTAAAATCTTGGGTATAATTATTTTCATGCCAGGCACGGTGGTGTGCAACTGTAATCGCAGCAACTCAGGAGGCTGGGATAGGAGGATTGCAAGTTTGAGGTCAGCTTCAGCAACATACTGAGACTGTCTCAAAAGAAAAAAATTCAAAGGATGTGGTTCAGTGATAAGACACCTCAGTACCTCTAGTCATTTTCAGGCTGTGTGTTTGAGCTACATATGAAACATATATGGATTTCATATTCAGGCTTGGGTTTAGCCCCAAGATATCTTATTAGGTATATGTAAATATTCTAAAATCTGAAAAAAAAAAAAAAACCCAAAAAAACAAAAACAAAACAAAACAAAAAAACCCCAGAAATCTGAAACACTCTGGTTCCAAGCATTTCCAGTAGGGTGCGCTCCACACACAGAGCCCTGAGCTTCTGCCAGCAGAAGCAAAATAGTAAAGATATCAAGTTGTCACTCTTATTTTTTTCAATAAAAGGAAACATTCATTTGTGAATAAGAACAAAAGACTCTTTTTGCATGCATCCTTTGAAGACTGAAATATCACAGAGGGGCTGTTCTCTGCTAGTTGGAGAGAAGATCCTGGGGCTGGCTGTGACCAGGCCTGTGTCTGCAGTTTGAAGGCAATGACCATATTTGCCTTCCTTTCTGACTCCAGTGTATCACCAGGCCTCTTCCCTGAGTGCTCATGAGGCTGCCTCCTCCAGGCCTTGGTTCTGATGCAATAATCCTGTTAGTATCACAAAGGGCTGTCCTCAAGTGATTCCATGGACAGCCAGGTCCAACCACTGTCACTTCCTGGAGGGATGGTTTTCTGATCTCCACTTTCCCCTTCTGAGAGCTCTAGGAGAGGCCCCAAGGCCAGTGCCTGAGAGGAATTCAGACCCAGGGAAGGTGGCCTGGAGCTGGTAAAGGCAGGCAGGAAGCATGCCATGCCATAGACTCTGGGAACACGCCCACATTCTGTGAGTGAACAGTCGCCTGGAGTTGTCCAAAGGCCACCAGTGGGAAGGTAGCTGGGGAGGGCAGTGGCTCTCTGTATTTGTCCTCTGGCTCTCTGGCCAGTGCTCACACCGTCTTCTCCCATGTGTCCCATCCTCCTCTAAATGGCAAAAAGCAGGCTGAGTAAGTGCAGGGGCCCTCAAGGAGACCTCAGAAAATGGAAGCAAACAAATCCTAAAGCCCAAGTTCAAATTTGAAATCCACCCTGGTGACAAGGCTGGTCTCGGCACAGGTGTTCCAGGAAGTCTCCTCTAACTGCTCTAGGGCAGGTGACCCAGTTCCCTTGGGCCTGCCTGGCTGTAGGCGGGGGTGCCCGCCCATGAGCCTCAAGGAACCTCACATGGCCCAACTCCTAGCCACCTCCCCTGTCCAGGCTGGGTGTAGCCAACCTGGGAAGGCTCTGCTCAGAGACAGTCCCAGGGTCTGAGGGCATCAAGAGCATCAAGAAGACAATGTCTTCTCTGTTGGGACTGAAGGGACCCCAGCCTGTGGGGAAGGAGCCCTCTCTGTCCGCATGGCATGCAACAGCCTCCCTGGAGCTCTGGGAAGCAGACATGGGGGAATGTCATGTCTAATGGGTGACCAATCAGTCTCATGGGCCAGTGCACCCCCTGCCCTATCTGCCTCAGATTCTGACAGTGAAGCCACATGCACACTCAAGGTGCAGGAGCCCATACAAAACTGGGACCCTTGTTTTCTAATTCCCTTTGCCCAGGTTCAATCCACCCAAGTAGATTCAGGATCAGAGGCTTTGACAGCAGGGGAGCTCCAAGCTGAACATCAACCTAGCCTGGGACACCAGGTAGGAAGTTGGGTTTTTTAATGTATTTTTTAAAAACAATATTGCTAAACATTTGTATTGCTTCTTTTACCTAATATGAATGGTGTTACTATGAAATTTCTTTTGCATACTCCTTAAAGAACAGGCCTGTGTGTGTGGGGGCTGGGGGCTGGGGATTGAACCCAGGGCTTTACACACACGAGGTAAGTACTCCACCACTGAGCTACATCCCCAGCCCTTTTTATTATTTATTTATTTATTTTGAGACAGAGTCTTCAAAGTTGCTGAGACTGGCCTTGAACTTGTGGATCTTCCTGCCTCAGCATTCCAAGTTGCTAGGATGCCAGGTGTGCACCCCATGTCCAGCTTGCCCACGTGTGCTAAGGCATCAGAAGCAGACCTCTTACAGCAGCAGCTCGGTTTTCCCGACTACACAGTGGGAGGCAGCAGAAGGCAGGGGCACCTGGTGTGGAGCAGCTCCAGCTCCGTGCTCTTCTCCCGCTCCAGCTTGGTGTAGGCTTCACGGTGTCGCCGGGCCTCCTCCTCCAGTGCCTGCTCGGCCATGGTCTCCTGATCCTTCACCATCTCCTCCAGCTCGTGCACCCTGTGTGGGGGAGGGGGCACAGCTCTAGGATGCGCCAGCTCCTGGGGCCTGAGTGGTCTCATCCCAACCCAGTTGTTCCTGACCCTGCCAAATCCCAACACACCCACCCAGGGAGGGTGGAGTGTCTGCTAGGCCTGCCAGCCAAGAAATAAATTAGGGACATCTAAAGGGAGGTGAGCCAGTCATATGAGCCAGGGGCAGACCTGGTGTGGGTTCAGAGGGGAGTGACACCACACCTGGGATGGCGGGATGCACAGGGCAGCACAGGGAGGAAGCGCCAGCCTGGTCTCAGCTGGACACTGTCTCGGGCCTCCCCTCCTCATTTTTGTTCTACTTTCCTGGGCAGTATCCCTCTGATCAGCAATTCAGGTTACTAGGCACCATGACTCCAAACACAGGCACATCTTGGCTAGTGGCCCACATGTCAGACCAAAGGGCCAGGTCTCCGCTGTGGATGTTATAACCCACTATGGTGGCGTAGGTGGTATCAGTCTAAGGTGTATATCACTGGCAATGGTCCCTCCACCAAGCTGACCTCAGGGTGTACACAAGGTAGAGGACCAGACCCTGGGGTATGTCTACCAAGCTTCCTACATCTGGGGAGGACTACCACATGCAACATCTGCTTCGTCCCAGTCCGTGCTGGAAGCACTGAGCAATGCTCGGTGGCCTCCACCTGGACCCCTCCCGCCAGCTGCCCACACTGGCCTCTTCCTCTGCACACCTTGATCCCAGGAAGGAGATGGGGCTCTGGTCACTATAAGCAGTGAGGGACAGCAGATCCAAGCTCTGCCCTGGGGCTTGTGTCCTGTCCTCAGGCCTACAGTCAAGGTCAAGCTCCTCTGCTCCTCAGAGCTGTAAGTTACTGCCATCAGCTTCACTCGGGGCCTCAGCCACAGGGACAGCCCCGCGGTCCCCAGAGCCAATGCTCTAGCCTCACCTGTGCACCAGCTGTGTGTTCTCCTGCTTCAGCTTGCTCTTTAGGTCCCCACTGGTCAGGCTGTCATTCTCCAGCTCTGTCACCTTCTTTTCTAGGAAGCTTACCTACAGCAGAGAGTAGGGATGGGCTAGAGAAGACCTTGGAGGCCACAGGACTGAGAACCTAGAAACTAAAGTTCATGACCAAGACCTTCAAATGGCAGTGCATGAGAAAAGTGGTCATGTTGAGTGAGGATGACACTGAGGGGCCCACGTGCCTGTCACCTCTACCCCTAGCTCTTGGACAAGGTACAGGGTCATCTGAGTCCCCAGCTGGCAGCCCAAAGTACTTCCCACTACCCCCGGGAGCATGCACACACTGACTCCCTTCCTTCTCCACCTGCCCAGGGCCCACCTTCTCCGTGATGTCATTGTCACAGGAGTCAATGCTGTCCCGGAACAGGTCCTCAGTGCTGCCGTTACTGCTGCTGAAGTTACTGTTGTGCATGAGCTGCCTGCAGGGGTGGGCGATGGATTGTGGCTGCAGGGGCCCTCCAGAGGTGGGGTCCAGACTCAGGCTACAGGCTGGGGGAACCTGCTGTACCCTAGCGGCCCCAACAAGGAGGCCGCCCTCCCTCAGCCAGTGGGGGAGAGCATCGCCTGCTCTGATGCTGGTGGAGGGGCTGCTAGCAGCCATGGCCCATCGACAACTGCTCTTTCCCGATGCCTCTAAACCCTCTTCACAGCAGCATCCAGCCAACAGCTACCAAATGGCCAGGGCTGGCCTACGAGGCCCTTTTCTTCTGGTTAGAAAGCTGCAATAGAGGGAGCCTGGCTCCACAGGCCAGCACAGGGCCTGACCTCCTGCGGCTGCCCAGTCGGGCTTGGCCCCCTCCACTGAGATGGCTCCTGCCACCTCTCAGGGAACTCTGGAGGAAGGTGCAGGAGGGATCCAGCATGCTTTACTGGCACTGGGTTGAGGATGAGGCTGGAAATAGGTGGACATTTACAGAGGTCATCCTTAGAAAATTTCAGCTGCCATCCTCTAATGACATCCCCTTCCCTACTCCCTCACAGGCAGCAGCCAGGGTCTGTACCGAGAGGCCATCCCACCCAGAACTGAGCCAGAGCCTGGGTGCTGGCAGCTGATATCCTGGCATGGACCTGGGCCAGGCTACAGGAGCATGGCATAGGACCCCAGGGGCAGCAGGGCAGCTGTGCAGGACTCACTGCATCTCTGCCAGCAGGAACCCAGGGTCTCTTTTGTATGAAGGGCACGACAACTGTGGGGTCACTGTCTCAGGGCATCCCTACCAAGTCCACACAAGGCCGAGGCAGTCAAAGGTGTGACGACACTGACCGAAACCAAGAGGGGACCAAGGGAAGAATGAGGGCGAGGAAGGGCGTGCACTTCTTTCTGAGAAGCAGGCCTCTGGCTGCTCTGCTACAGGGCCCTGGGCACACTCACACCCCTCTACTCATTCAGCCACCCATAGGACACTGGCTGAGTCTGGGCTGCTGGCACAGAGACCTGGCCCCAGGCAGCAATAACATAGTTAAGGGGGACAGCTCTCAACTCATTGTCTCCCAAGGGGTCCTTACCGTCCAAAGGCAGTGCTAGAGATTTTTCGGTTGGGGCTGGAGAGAGAGAGAGAAGAAACAGTCACTGACCAGAGGGGTTCTGGTCCATTCCTTTACTCCACCTATTACAAGACACCAACATGCAGAATGAGGCTTGACCCTCCACTAAAGGGATTTTGCACATCCACTCGGTCCCGAGAAAAAAACTGTTTGACTTCCTGTTGCAGGAAAAGCCCCCAGGATCAGCCTGCTCTGAGTGTCCTCAGATCTGCTAAGACAGAGTGGACTGCCCTGCCCAGGACTCCTGCCTCCAGGCGCCACCTGGCCTCCCGCCACCTCTGGGCTGCGGGCCTCACCTGTTGGCCTTCAGGTTTTTCAGCCGGGCTTCCAAGTCATTCAGCAAGTTGATCTTCTTGCAGCACTGAGAGCAGTACACATCCAGCAGCTCGCTGTTGTACGTGTGCCGCATCTTCCTCGGTGTCTGCCCCGCACTGATCCAGGGGAGGGAGGAAATCACCTTCTTAGCTGTCAAACTGTGCCCTGTCCCCGCTGCTGAGCTCACTTCATTTATAAACTTTGCAGAGCAGGGCAGAGAGTGGGAATAAAGCAACCAAGCATCCCTTCACCAACAAGCTCAAAGAGAAGCGGCCGGTGAGATGCACCCACTTAATAAGCACAGCACACCAAGAGGGAATGTCAGAGGAAGTAATGACTCAGGTGGGGGGAAGCGATCATGGAAGGAGGTTCTAGAAGCAAGATGACACAGACACCCCTGTCAGGGCCTGTGGCCTTCCAGCTTAGTTAACTATTTCTTTGCTAAGATGGAAGGAGGGAGGAAGAACTCCAATCTCCCAATCGGGGTGCAAAGGCAGCACCCCCAAGCCCTAAGTCAGAGGGCAGGATGGTCATTTCAGGACTCTGCCTATCTGATCTCCTAGGATGAGGCTGGATTGGTTCTGCCATTTTTTTTCTGAGCCTCCAATATCACCCCAGACCAAGGAGCCACCTGGAAGACACCGAAGAACCCAGGTCCGAGTAGACGTTGGTCCTGGTCTCATCATCGGGGCAGGGGCTGCTGGGGGCACAGTCCACGTCATCCCCCTCCCCGTAGTCTTCAAACTGCTCCTCGTTGCTGATGAGTGAGGCGGTGGAGTGTGTGGAGAGGTCTGATGTCGTCATGGATGGAGTGTGGACCAGGGACCTGGGGGCCACAGCATCTATGTCAGTGAAGGACTGAGGGGTCCCACCTACAGCTCCTAATGGGGGAGACAGGCCAGGCCTTAAGGAAGGCCACTCGGCACCACAGACAGTGAGAATCTCATCCAGTTTGCATCTTTTGACTTTGGGACCCCATCCCAAGGGGAACATCTCACCATAGAAACTTTCTGCAAGACACAATGCAAACTGAGTAGCAAAACATTGGTTACTACTTGAACAGTTTAACTCAATTAAATTATAATTATAGTTATTAAACTAGAACATACATTAGTGAATCAAACAAAGTAACAGAATATAAAATGGTTGTTGGAACTTTCATAAAAATAGGGGTTGGGTTGTGGCTCAGTGGTAGAGCACTATCCTAGCACATGCAAGGCCCTGGGTTCAATCCTTAGCACCACATAAAAATAAATTTAAAAAAAAGATATTGACAACTATAACTAAAAAATAAATATTTTATAATAAATTAATTAATTAAAAAAGAAACTTTCATAAAAATATTGGCAATAAAATAAGAAAATGAATATAAATAAAGTTAGATACAAATTTTGAGACATTTTTAAAGACTGAGTACATAAGCTACATGCAGTGGCCCATGCCTGCAATCCCAGTGACTTGGGAGGCTGTGGCAGGAGGGTTGTTAAGTTCGAGGTCAGTCTCAGCTACTTAGTGAAGCTCTGTCTCAAAACAGAAAATAAAAGGGCTGGGGATGTAGCTTAAGTGGTAAAGTGCCCCCAGGTTCAATCCTCAGTATTCAATAAAAAGAAGAAGAAGACCTAGTATGTCAAAGGTCTATACAGAAGGAGGAAGCTTAGGAAATAAAAACACTGACATGGTAACAGGACTCGGGTTTAGGGTCGTTGCTTGTTTTTCCTCATTCTTGCTTTTCCCACCTTTTTCAAGTTTTGCTTAATTGGCATGCTCACCTTTTAAAATGAAATGATAGATAACAATAAGCTATTAGGTAAGAAGTCCAAAGATGTTTAATCAAAAAACAAAGCAAAAAAAAAAAAAAAAAACCCAAACCACAGGTCAGAGCCTCCAAGGGCGACCCACGGTATGTCCTGTGACATATCAGGGCCTGGCTGGCCCCACTGATCACCCAACAACAGAGAGCGGTCCAGCGCATCCCCTGTGAACATATCTCCCCTGTGGTCACTCTGCGGTAATTTCCCTACACCATCACTCAGACATCATGATTTCCCTGAGCTCCCTGAGCCTCCACTCAAAAATGGGGAACCTGAACTAGGGAAAGAATCTTGTAATCATGGGTTAAAGCAGCAATTCTCAAACCATACCCTTGAGGAACCCCAGTTTCTATCTAAGGAGCTGGGTTAATGATAAGGTGAGTAAAGATCCATTTCCTGGCACCTCGTCCCATTTTTTGTTTATTTATTCAAAAGCTGTCTTTGGGCTCCTCAGTGCCTCAGGTTGAATTAACCGCATTGCTCAGTTCTTTCCTTATAAATTTGGCTGAAATGCTTGGCAGCCAGGGCTGGCTGGCCTCTTGGTCATTAGTCCCAGAAAACAATGGTGCCAAATGGCAGATGACCGGCTACAAAATTGATAGTTCTGTTGGTCTCAGCCATTTGTTCTGGGGTGGACTGGTCACATGTGTAGTTGATGTAGTCCCAGCCACCATGGACTCCTCTCAGTAGACAGACCACTTCTAGGGGGCCCCCGAGGGCATTGTGACTCTCTGAGCACTGGGGCGGGGGGGGGGGGGGGGGGGGGGGGGGGTAGTGTTAGGCTGAACCACCTTTTGGAAGGCCAAAAACTGAGGAAAAGCCAGCAATTTCGTGTGGTTTAGCCAATACTGGAACACCCCTCCCCTGCCCTCTCTTAAATATCTGAGTTGCCCTGTCACTTTCTTCCAATACCTGGGTCACCGCTCCTAATTGCTGTGGCCCCTCAGCCAGGTGGTGGCTGCATCTCATCACCCCGCAAGCACTGTATCACTCCAGAGATTTCAGGAGAGCTGAAATGGAAGGGACTCCCTTCTGCTGATACCAAACTAACAGATCAGGGCCTGGCCGACCCCATCCACAACCTACTAACAAAGAGGTCAACGCATCACCTCTGACAAAGTCTTCCCTTTAGTTACGACGTAGTAATTTCTCTCTATTATTATCCTGGGAAGTCACTAGGTCTTTCCCCTCCTCCTGCAGTGCTGGGGATTGAACCCAGGGCCTGAGCATGCCAGGCAAGTGCTTTACCACTAAGCTATATCCCCAGCTCTACTTAGGTATTAATATTGTATTTTAAACAATTCTGATGAGAAAGAGTATGTGTCCCCTCTCATTAAGCAGTCATTAAAACTGACTTGGCACAGCTGCCTGAAATTCAGAGCTCTTCCTACTGTCAGGCATCGAGGCTACTTAGAACTTCCTGTGGCGCAGAGCACGCAGGGAAGGAAAGCCGGGGATGCGATCTTTAGCATCCCACGTGCTCTCTCTGGAAAGGCCTCTCAATTAACTGCATTTCTGGGCCTAGAAGACACATACCGAGCTCCATCAGTTTTCACTCACTTGTCCTCTGGCAGAAACAGGCCCCCGAGACCCCGCTCCTTGTCCTCGGCGGGACTCCCGACAGACCCCTCCAGGCTCTGGGTGCTTTCCATGGGGCTGTCCAGATCTGACTCCAGGGAGCCCTCAACTGGGGCCAGTGTCATCATAGGCTCCTCCTCGTCCTCGGGAAAGATGCTGGGCTCCCTGGGGATGAGCTCGCCATCAGCAAAGGTGGAGCCGGGGACCTCAATGTCCTGGGAAAGACAGGGGGACAGAATGACTGGGGGCGTGAGATCACTGGAACTTGGCGTGCCTCATCCAATTTCAAGGGCATCAACAGGGCCAGGGACAGTGGAGACTGCAGTTTGGGAGGGCCCAGACCCCAAGACCACAAGTGTGAGAATGCCTGGCAGGAAGATTAGTTTGGGGCTTCTCATACTGGACCACTCATGAGAGTCCAGTGAGGAGCTAGACCTCCCAGGGACAGCCATCCATGGAGAAGGGCCACAGCTAGGCTGGTCACATCACTCAGAACACCTGTTGGCATGCTGGAGCCCTCCTCACAAAGTCTGCACAGGAAGCCAAATGACAGAGCAGGCTCCTTGGTGATCTGCACTGGGGACGTGTCCACACTGAACACTGAACGGCCTTCAAGACTACCCTGACCTCACAGAGTTTGATGCAGCACGGTAGAGGGAAGTCTGCACAGCTTGGGATCCACCCTTCATGATTCTGGGCATGTTACAGAAACTCAGTTCTCTTCTGTAAAGCAAGACCGGCAATGAAGTCTCACAGAACTACTGTGGCCACTGCATGAGGTCTTTTGTGTTAGCTTTTGGCACTCAGTAGGCCCTTGATAAATAAATTCTGGCCAGAGGGCATGATGCCAGTCCAGGAGATAAGTGCCTGCCTTGGCCCTGCCACAGCCACGCTGGGGAGTGAGAACACCAGGCCTTTCACTTCTGAGCTCTGGGCCAGACCCACCCATGCTGATCCAGGGCGGAGCACAGCCCTGCACAAGGTAGGTGTGCAATAAAGATCTGCCTAGGTCTTCTGCTGAGGTTACCTCCTAAGAAGAGCTTTGGCTTTGTCAGAGTGGACTCTCATACGAGGAGCAGCTCTCTGTGAGCCACTTCTAGGGATTACTTTGCTTCTGAGGAGGTAGGTACCTTCCAGGTGGCTCTGCTTTTACCTGTTCCCATGGGGATGCCAACCTGTTCCCAAGGTTCTACTGTGTGCTCCTAGGCAAGGGCTGACAGAGCGCTCTATTAAAAGTGTTTTCTCCTCATCCCAAGATTGCAAGATGGGTACCGGAAACAAGGGCTACAAAAAGTCTCCAGTAGTCTCAGACAAGCACAGGTTCCAGGAATCTGTGCAAACCACATGGAGAGAGACCTCCAGGGTGCTGAAACCCACCAGGAGACTCCTAAACTGGGAATAGGCAGTGATTAATGAGCTTGGCTTCTGCCTGGACCATGACTTGGAGTGAGCACCAGATGGACCAATAAAGTCGGCACCAGCCACCCTGACTGGAGAGCAGGCGGCTGAGTATCAAAATCACCCACAATGTTCACAGGCTGTTTCCACCTGGATGTCACTCATCAGATTCCACATGGCTCCTAGACCCTAAGTAGGCTCATCATCAGCAAGCACAAAGAGCATCCTGATGGCCTCAAAAGGACACTGACGTTACTGAGCAACCACCTTGCTTCGGAGATGGCGCTGAATTCATATTTTATTCACTCAGTGTTTCGTGACAGCTATTCTGGACAGCTACTGCTATTCCATTTTACTGAGGCTGAAATTGTGGCATAGAGAGTAACTTCTCAGAGTCTTCTGGCCAGTAGGCAGAAGACCCCCCTGCACCTGGCTGCCCAGCACTTAGTTCCATTTGCACTGTTGCCCCCACATTTCACAGATTTTCACACCTGGAAGTAACAACGAGGAGACTGCACTTTAGTTACTATTTCTGACTCCTGGGTGCTCTGCCAGATGTAGCAGCTTCCACATAGGCTCGGGGCCTGGGCTCATGGGGAGGACAGCTAGTGATCTGTGCCTTGCCCTCAAAGAACCTCAGACTTCCCCTTCCTGGCCACAGTGTGCAAAATCAATAATAGCCAGGAAGGCTACTGTATGGCTCACAGGAGAGCGTTACCACAGCCCTAGGACTTGGCTTCCTCTCCCCTTTCTGTAGGTGAAGGGTCTTGCCTGGGAAGCAGGGGCTGGGACCTGGCTGTGTGTCACTCCCCCCTGCCCCCCACACACATCTGGGGTCCTGAGGCAGAGGTGACCCACCTGGTTCCCAGAAGGCAAAAGTGTCAGAGGGACCAGGATCCATGCTTCTCAGGTGTCCAGACTGGCCTATGGACAGCTTGGGTTTGGCCCAGTGGACAGTCCCACTTAAACACTAACTCATGGTGGCAGGTGGGGACAGCCAGTCCCCTCACCTAATGATGTTCCCCTCACTTCTGGCAGATGGTTCAAGCTCCTACCCAGGCAGAAAGAGTGACCTCAAGTGGCCTGTCTCAGTCCTAGGCTAGGCAGAGGAAGGGGCACTAATGCCCGGCCTTCCCCCAAAAGACCATCTCTTCCTCAGGCAGCTCTTCTTCAACCTTTGATGAAGCAGAATCCACACCTGCCTGCCCTTCACCTTTCACAAAGTGTCTTCTATCTGTCATGGGGCCCTCTGAGGGCTCTGTGAGGGTTACAGGGAGAAACATGCCCAAATCCTGTCTCCACCTGATACTTTGAGAAGAGGAGGCTCAGAGAGGCGGGTGGCTGTGCTGAGACCTGAAGCCAGGCTCAGACAGGCTGAGTGCAGGTCCCTCACCTCCCCCCAGCTACACACACACTCACTCAAACTTTTTTCTCTTAAATTAGCCATTCCCTCCATTAATACCTTTTCATTTAACCCACAAGTGTTTGCCCAAGGCAAGTGGAAATGATAATTACCACTTCAAAACCATTTCTAGTAGTTTCCCCCTAAATTAAAATAGTATAAAGATAGCTATGAGAAAAGTCACTGTATACCTTGGTTAGTCTGGGACAGTACCGGTCTGTGCCTGTCCCAAGGCCTTTTGGTTTGGCAACTATCCTGAACAAAAGCAGCATTGGTCACTCTGGCTCAGTTCCTGGGCCCAGTTCCTTCTCCCACTGGGCTCAAGAGGAGAGCGGCCGCTCTGATGCCACGTACCTCAGGCAGAGAGGCAGAGCGAGGACAGTGGTGGACGGTGATCGAAAGCAACCTCTTCTCCCCTCCCTGAGTTTCTCCTCATGGCTGGAAGAACTCAGAGTCATTTTAGAGCCCCTTCTGAGCCAGTGCCTCTTTTATGAGTTTTAAAGTTGCAGAGGGAAAGAACAAACTTGTCCATATGAAATCCCCCTCCCAGGGGTCTAGGGGACATGGGGACGTGGGCTTCCTAAAATACCCTCCAGCCTGAGGATAACAGCTGTATAGAGCACCTGTTGTGAACACAAGAAGCCACCTCGCTATACACAGGAGAGCTCTGGGTAACGGGAAAGAGCAACAGATGAACCCTTAGGGTGCTGAGGCGGTTCACTGGAGCTGAGGCAAGATGTCTGCGGCTTTCACAGACTGACCCACGGCTGACTCTGACCATGGAGATCCAGGCCGCAGCAGCCCCAGGGTGCTGGAGTCCTTCCCTGAAAGGCTGGGGGTAGTGGGAAAGAGGACAGCAGCATCATGCTGACGGTCTCTGGCTCCAGCCCTGAGACTTGCTCTGGAGGGCTGGCAGGATCAGGGAGCGGCGAACAGATTCCCCAAGAGCATGAATTCCCAGGTACCCAGGTGTCTGAGCAAGGCAGGTGTCCAGGGTACCTTCTAAGACTCTGCCCCTCAGATCTCCCCTTTCCTGCCCTTGTCCCCCAGTGTGTGAAAAAGATATCCATGCAATTTCATCCAGTCACCAGTCACCATCCAGAGGCCCCCACATCAGGGACAGATCCGGGCTTGGCACTTAACAAGGACTTCTCAGAGGTTGCAGAGAAAGGATATATCTGATCTTTTGGGAGACTTTAGAAGGGACACAGTGACTTCAACTGGCAGCACAGGGCATCGCTGGAAGTCCACTCTGACAGGGATTGGAGCCCAGAGGCTGCCCTGGGCACAGAGCTCCCAGCCTCCCAGGGCACAGGACCAGCTCTTGGGACCACCCAGGCTTACTTCCTTCCCCTGTAGAGGGCTCCCAGGAGTGAGGAAAGGCGGGGGGTTGGGGGGAGATCCAATGTGGGTGGAACTGGGTGAGCGCACAGTTCTGGAGCCTGGTAGACTGAGTGTCAGTCCTGGTGGCCCAGCCATTCATGGGCTGTGCGCCCCTGGGTCTTCCCCTTCAGAGCAGAAACTGTCACCTCTAGTTTAGAGGCTGCTGTAAAGGGTATGCTTGACAATTTGCACAATCACCAGAGAACAGCTGTTGGAGCCCTAAGTCCTGGCCTGGCCTGTGTGTGTGACAGCAGCTAAGCTGTCCCTGTGGTCCATGAATCCCAGCCTGGTCAGCTAGCAAGGCCCTGACAGACACGCAGCCAGGCCGGGAGGATTATTTGAGGCCAGGAGTTTCTGGAGAGAGTTCTGAGGCCCATGACAGGGGAAACAGGACCCAGCTGGCCGCTCTGGCAGGGCACCTCTGTGCCGCCAGCATCCCCAGCGGCACTGCCATCTTCCATTTTGCCACCCTGTCTCCAGATGGAGCTGGACAGTGCTGGCACCAGCTGGAAATGGAGTCTGGGGGCACACAGCCTGCCCAAGGGGCCCCTCTCCAGTCTCAAGAGCAGCATTCAGCCACCAGCAGACCCCAGAGTCACCCCCTCCTCTGTGGGAAGTTGGCAAGGGCTGAATTCAAAAGCTGTGAAAAAGCCAAGTAGCAACACATGTGTGAGCTGGGGGGGCATCCAAGTCTCAGAGTGGCCCATAACAGTCCCCGTCCCCATGGTCAGAGTGGGTATGTGGCCGGGCCTAAAAACAGCTTTATTTGGCGTTAACTCTCACCTACTTAGTCTGTCTCCAAGTCACACACACCAGGACACTGCATTTTCCTGGTAGCTAAGGTACAGGGGACATTGACTGAGGGGCTATATTTCTACACTCCCTAAGAGAGAGAAGACGCTGAATGGTTAGCCGGGGGGATTCTGCATCTGAACCCCGGTGATTAGCATCCTAGGGAGCACCTGGTAGGTGATTTAGAGTGTTGGCTGAACCAAGAAGCACGGGGGCAGGGTGAGGTGAGAAGGGTCCAAC